TCAGGAGTTTGAGACCAGCCTGGCCAAAATAGTCATACTTTTTGGTCTCTACAAAAAAAATAGAAAGACTTAGCTAGTTGTGGTGGTATATGCCTGTAGTCTCAACTACTCACAAGGCAGAGATGGGAAGATTGCTTGAGACCAGGAGTTCGAGGCTGCAATGAGCCATGATCGCCCCACTGCACTCCAGCCTGGGGGACACAGTGAGACTCTGACTCAAAAATACATACATACATATACACATACATACATGTTTCTAACTTGAGAACTTCTATTTTGTCTTTCATGGATCATACTTTTGGTGTTGCTTATAAAAGTACAACCTAGATATTCTATGTTATTTTCTAGAAGTTTTATAGTTTTGTGTTTTACGTAAATGTAATCCCAACCCTTTGAGAAGCCAAGGCAGGCAGATCACTTGAGGTCAGGTGTTCACGACCAGCCTAGCCAACATGGTGAAACCCTGTCTCTACTAAAAAAAAAAAAAAAATACGAAAATTAGCCAGGCGTGGTGGCACACGCCTGTAGTCCCAGCTACTGGGGAGGCTGAGACATGAGAATTGCTTGAACCCAGGAGGCAGAGGTTACAGTGAACCGAGATCACGCCACTGCACTCCAGCCTGGGCAACAGAGTAAGACTCTGTCTCAAAACAACAACAACAACAACAAAAAAAAAAACTGTAATCCCGGCACTTTGGGAGGCCAAGGCAGGTGGATCACCTGAGGTCAGGAGTTTGAGACCAGCCTGACCAACATGGAGAAACCCCGTCTCTACTAAAAATACTAAATTAGCCAGGCGTGGTGGTGCATGACTGTAATCCCAGCTACTTGGTAGGCAGAGTCAGGAGAATCACTTGAACCCGGGAGGTGGAGGCTGAGGTGAGCCAAGATTGCGCCATCGCACTCCAGCCTGGGCAACAGGAGCAAAACTCTGTCTCAAAATAATAATAATAATTTTTAAAAACAGTCTTTAATATAATCAAATATTCTGTGTTCACACTTTCCCCAATTGTCTCATTAATGTGAAATTTTAACAGCTGTTTTTTCAAATTAAGATCACACAGTACATTTTGTTATTTGTCTCTTGAATTTCTGTGTGTCTATAAGCTTTCTCTCCTTTTATTTTTCTTGCAATTTGTTTATTGAAGAAACAGTTGTTTGTCATGTAGAGCTTCCTATATTTTGGATTTTGCTGATTGCATCACTGTGGTATCATTTAACATGATCATGATTACATAGTAATTAGCTTTTAGATGTTTGCTGTCAATTATACTACACATACGATTTAATTCATAATTCATCAACATAGTCGCTGCTCCTTTTAGTCCTTACAATCCACCATATCCTTTGAAGCATCCTTGACACAAATTATCTCATTTAGTCTTTCTGATAACCCTATGTGGTATTATTATCCTCAATTTAAGAGATGAAGAAGGCCAGGTGCAGTGGCTCACGCCTGTAATCCCAGCACTTTGGGAGGCCAAGGCAGGTGGATCACAAAGTCAGGAGATTGAGACCATCCTGGCCAACATGGTGAAACCCTGTCTCTACTAAAATACAAAGAATTAGCCGGGTGTGGGGGCAGCGCCTGTAGTCCCAGCTACTCAGGAGGCTGAGGCAGGGGAATCACTTGAACCCAGGAGGCGGAGGTTGCAGTAAGCCGAGATCACACCACTGCACTCCAGCCTGGTGACAGTATCCAAAAAAAAAAAAGAAGAAGAAGAAAATGAGGCTTAAGAGAGGTTACAGAAACTTGGCCATAGTCAATCTGCCAGTAAATATCTGGGTTCAAACTCTCTGATGTTACCATGCTGTTATCTGTTATATGATAATATTCCATCACATTGCCTGTGGTTTGTGGTGGTTGTTTTTAATCAACTCTAGGAAGCAGTCTTTCAGTCCATTCAAAGAATGTACTTTCACATTTCATCTTTAACACTTAGGATGCTTTCAACTTCAAGTAACAGAAAACTCCATCTCAAATTGACTCAACAATAAGGTTGTTTATTATCTCATATAACAAGAAATCCAGAAGAAGGGCAGCACTGCGGCTGGTTGATGACTGACTCAACAACAACATGGCAGACCCAGATTAATTGTATCTCTTTACAATGGCCAGAACGGGGTCACATGTCCACTACTAAACTTTTAGAGGCCAGTTAAGAGGATCCCATTCCTCTTGTCTATGATAGATTTGAGAGTGTACCTCAGAAGCTGATAGAGTCACCTTTCCTAATGTGTAAACACCTACATAGGCTTCTATAAAGAAGAAGAAGAGGGTGGACTGAATTTTGAATAGACAACCAACAGTATCTACTACCTGTTCCTAATGAGGTATGCTACATATTCCACTGTGAATAATTAAAATACTTCATTATAACTGCCACGTTGAACTTTTTTACTTTCTGTCATGTGACAATTACAGTCAATATATCAGCTTCATTTACAGGAAGAAATGGTTACACAAGATGATATGTAAAGTCCCTTCCAGTTCCAGGAGTTCTGTTTCAATTTTACATTTTCATCTTCTAAAAAGCAAGTAGAAAAGTTGCACCTACAAGATATGGTCCAGAAATGATAATGGGTTTCAACTGATAAGTCATTGGCATATTGACATCCTTTCTCCCTTAAAATAGGACATAAGCATCAGATGTAAAGAGCTAAACAGACTGGAACTGGTAATATCTTTCCATTAAGTTTTAACTTCTAGGTTAAATGTTCTACTTCCCTCACTCATCCATGAACACCTTCCAGTTTCCAACACTCATCATACAGACAGAGACTGATCAGAAGTTCCTTTTCACAACTCACTTTATTTTGGTGTCAATATCCTCCTGGAGCATGGCTCTAGGGCTGTAGGATAGCTCTTGTATCTCTGCTTTGACTGCCAAATATGACTTTAACTTAAATCATTCACCTGTCTGCTTCCTTTCATGGCTGGTTTCTGCAGGAATAATCTATTCATTTTATCATATACAGCCATTTTCCTTGTGAGGAACCACAGGAAACCAAAGAGAAATACCGTACACTACTGAGCACCGTTGCTACTCTTTCTTCCAATATGAATGAAATTGCTTTATTATTTTCAGCTTATGCCTACTATCAGTTTTCTCTGGGAAAACTGCTGGTTCGAGCCTTAAGCAGTCCTGTTCTTATTTAACAGAAGGCTATGACGGTAACAAATGCACAACATAAAAAAGTCAAAGGCATCCCGTCGGTTACACAGGACATTCGGAATAACAAATGTACAGGAAAACTTGGGAACATGACTTAGGGTAATTTGGTCACACCCCCATTTCCTTTAACTCTTTCTGGCTCAGATTTGTCATTCTGACAGGAGGCCCAGGGCATAGTCCATTACCACAATTGTTCTTAGAAACGACACTGGTCTCTCAGTCAGCAGCTACTGCGTGCCAGTGCTCATCATGCTAGTTTCCAGAGTTTTAGAGAATTAACTTTACTTTCTGGTTCAACCCATCTGCTGGGGAAGGTATGGCCCTATTTTGAAATGTGCAAAGGGGAGACAGTGCTGGGGGTGCCCACAGGGGAAGGAGAGAAGACAGGCTTACTGACCACCTCTGTAACCTTGAATAAGTCACATCACCTCTCTCTGCCTCTTATTAACTATCATTGGGGAAAAATACCCTCACTCTGCCTGTCTCACAAGAGTTCTCATAAAAATAAAATAAGAACACGAATAGGAAAGTATTTTCATAAATGCAAAGCAGTGTTATCATTTTCAGATATGGAATTTCCTCTGCAGCACTTTTTTTTTGGCCACACGATTACTGCACACCTCGTGCCAGACGGACTATAAAGCTGTTTCACCTCTTTTCACATTTTGCCTAAAATTTCATACAGAGATTACAACAGCCATGCTGCATCCATCCCTTTGGTTCATTTTCCTCCACCACATCTCTGAATGCAAATCCCACCATCATGTGAAACACTGCATAGTAGCAACTTGCAAAACTCAACCAACCTTAAACTGTCAAGACAAGTCCCATAGGCAAAGGTTACGCTCAAAATAAGCTGCAAAAGTTCAAGAAGGAGAGAGAGACCACATCTAATTAGAAAAGGCCTCTGGAAGGTAAATCTAGATGCCATGTATTTTCATAATGTTGGTCTTTGTCCTTTGTCATCCCACTCTACTGTCATGCTTCAGAAACTTGACTTTATTTTCTCTATCTTTGGAGCTCTCAAGAATCTGACAGAGAGAATATCTTAGGGTATATTCAGGGATGAAGTGAACCGGCTCAACGACTAACAAACCCAGTGGATTTTAACATTTACCCAGCCCAACGAGGTCCAACTATCTTTAGGTTAGCACGACATATAGGACTTTCCCGGCCCAAGAACTCCCTCACAACCCCCAAGGAAGGAACTTTCACTGAGTATGCACTAAGTGCCAGACCCTAAGTGCTATGGGTCGCTTAATCCTCACAACACTTTTTCAAGCTTTAAGCCTGTTTTACAGATGAGGACGCGAAGGCTCAGACAGGCTACGTCGTCTGGTCTCACCTCAGTGAAGCCACCACTGCGCGTGGGCTCTCCAGCCCCTCACGCCATCACCCTAGAGCCTTGCTAACCTTCACCTCGCTCACCTCTCTCCATCCCTAGGCTGGCCAACTACTCTCCCCTCCCACGCCTCTGCCCAGCCGGAAAAACCTGGGGCGGGCGGGGTCTGTACCTGAGCCCGCTCTCAACGCGGCTTCCGTGTCAGGATGCTCGCTTACGAGAATGCTCCTCACAAGCTTGAAAGCCGTTGCCACCCACGCTCTCCGGAGCCCCAAGCGTCTCCAAAGAGCCTGCCCAGGCGTCCCCCCGACCCAGGTGCTTCCTCCCCTGCAGAGCTGTGGCGGGGTTCAGACCCCGATTCGGGGAGGGGACACCTGTCGAGGAAGGGCGGGGCTGGGGGACAGCGGGGCCGCAGCGAGGCGCCGCCGGGAACTACGCTTCCCAGCCTGCTCCGCTGCAGCCGCGCGCCCCGGCGCCGCGCCCGGCCGGGAGCCGCCTGTTGATCGCCGCTCTCGCCCCGGCCACGGCGCCGCCCCTGCTCTCCTGGCCCCGTTCCTCCGGGGCTGACGGACTGACTGCCCGCACCGCCGGCTCCGGGATGAGTGCACGGACGGGTGAGCGCGCCGGGGGGCGGGTGGGGCCTGCTCTGGCCGGCCGCTGTCTGCAGCCCCCGGGCCCGCAGCGCTGTGGCCGCCGCGCCCTCCCTGCCCGCGGGAGGATGCTCCGCGTCATGGGCGCTCGGCCGGGCGGGCGGGCAGAGCCGGGCCGCCTCTCGCCTCTCGCCTCCCGGCCTGGTCGGCTGCTCTGGGAGACCAGGCGCTGCGCCCGGACGGCAGGCGCCCGCCGGGGTGTGGGTCCCGCGCCCCGCACTGCGGTGCCGCAGCCTCTGCAGCTCGCTGGGCCGCGGCGTGGAGGGCGCGGTCTCCTGTCCTCCCGGGCTGCGGGGCTGTGTTCTTCCACGCCGGGCTTTGTTCCCCCACTTTCCCCCTTCCTGTGCATGTTTGATGAGCTCCTGGAGCGGTATGCATCTCCCTGCCTCGTTCAGCAGGCGATGGGGAGGGGTGGACTGGCCGGCGTCTTTCCTGAGATCGCTGGAGCTGTCACTCGCAGGGCGTTTCAGCCTCCCAGAAAGCGGCCTCGTGCGGATCCTCGAGAACCTTATTATTATTGTTATTACTTTTCTGGTTAAAGTAATGGTAGTATGTGCTCCATTGAGGCTTCCTAAATTTTCCCTGTTGGCCTGCGAAAATGAAGGTGAATTTTTAAAACAATAATAAAAGGCTCCTAATGGGAATTTTTAGAATATTCAGAGGTAGGAAGGTGATGCCGTCACAATGCAAATTAGCGGTGAAGGAGGCCGTGCTTGCTGAAGCTTCGTCTGTGCCCATTACATATCTGAATCACGAGGCATTTGGGAAGGGAATGAAAAGAATATCGGGGGAGGTGTTTCAAAAACCAGGTTCTCCTATTAGCTCGACCATTCAGGAGCTGAGAGACCTGGGCAAGTCTCTCCACCTCTCTGGGCCTCTGCCTATAAAGTGGGGCGTTTGGGCTAAATGATTTGTAAACCTCTCTTCTTCCAAGATTCTCCCCTCTCAGGGAACTGAGAAGATGAGAGTGTTTCTGTTTCAAACAGCACTACAGAAAGCCTGATTGTGACAACAAGCGCCTCTGCCCTAGTGAGGAGGAAAGATTTTTCAGAGCTTCAGCAATCTGATTTTTTTAAGAGAAAACTGATTTTCTCTGTCTACTCTCTTCAGTCTAACCCAGTAAATATGCATTGCAATCATTTTAATTTTTATAAGGAACTGTACATTGGTGGGCAACAAAGTGATGGGGTTTGTTTTTGTTTTTGTCTTTAATTTGCTGAAGGTGAAGTGATGGGATCAGCAGATAAAGGGTTAGTGGCTCCCTAGGGCTGGGCATGAGTGGTCAAATGTGGTCAGCATGGTGGTGGGGGAGGAAGCCCCAACAAGAAGTAACCAGAGTGTATATATACAGAAAAGAGAAGATGCATACGGATGGATCATTGTTTGAAAAAGAAATACACAACAGAAGGAATGAGAAAATCAGAAATTTGGCGCTCTGCAAACCCTAACATGACAGTTGAATAAGGCAAGGACTTACCAACTGGTCCAAAACCTTTGAGTGAAAGGTAGTTGGGGAATAGGATTTTCATATTATTTTAAAGTATCTCACCACAGGTTACTCTGGGAAAATTTGTCCTTACAATGGAGAAATTAGGAGGTTACCACTGGAACTAAATGACCAAGTTTAGCAGCATCTACTGTGAGTCTCCCGTCGTGAAGCAATAAGGAGGCATAATTTCACCTCTGTAGTGTTCCTACCAAAAGACTTGGGGATGGAGCAGAGCAAATGGGGGGCAACTATTGTAGATTAAATACTCAAGTGATACAACAGTGAACTGGGATGTATGAACTTTGAATCCTAGACGAGAAAAAAAAAGCTGTAAAAGACAATGTGGAGATAGTGACAGCTAGGTAGGGTGCAAATCCCTTGCTGCAAAGATATTTTTGCTTTTCCTGGATTGTATGTGTATATGTGTACATGAAAATATTAATTTAAAGTATACATATTTACTTGCATGAATGTCTGTGTGTATCTGTGAATCTCTCAATCAGTATTCCCCAAAATATGTAGAATGTTAATGGGTTATAAGAAAAAGAAAGTGCCTAGCCAGATGTGGAAAACACTGAGCAAAGCTGGAAAAGTTGGTTTATTCTTGACTTTCGGAGCCTTTCATGGGTTAATGATCATTGTATATGGGGATGTAAATGGGGTGGGAATGTCCATAGGATGGGATATGTAATGTTGTAATGTTTCCCAAACTGCGTGCAAAAATAAAAAATGAAAAATATCTTGAGGGACTGTCATTACATGGAACCAACTTTGAGAAACTGCCTTTAATGCATTTTTGAGTGATAGATCAGGACATATGATTAAATGTGTAAGTTGTAAGTATTTGTGCTTCCCATTACCTACAGATTAGAATTCAAATTTCAGTTTCTGGTTTTAATGGATCATAACAGTTTGATCCGTCTACTTTTTCAACCTAAATTTCCCATCTTCCTATAAATTATCCTGCTTAGTCCTTTGTTGTATACTATGAACCATTTTTATTTTCAGTACACCAAAAAGTCAATTCTACATAACTTTAAGGCTTCGTGGTTGTGTAAAATGGGACGCGCTCTTCTGCTCTGGCTCTTCCATGGACTGAGATAGCCACCTTTACTCCCAAAGCCATTTTGAGTTCCTTGGCCTTGGTCACATGTTTCAGCACAACCTTCCTTAAAGCTGTGATTTCTTCCTATTTCTGCTTTTATGAATTGCCATCCTATTTTGGCATCAAAGCTGCCCCACTTATTACCTCTTTCACATGTGTCATCAGTATTCCTGGGTTCCCCTAGTAAAAGTTAGGTAGGGTGGGGATGAGAAAGTCAGCTGCAGGACTGTGAGTGACATGAGCTCATGAAACAGGGCACAAGGCCAGCCATGCCAAACCTGGACAAGAGGAGAAAGGAGACAAGCTGAGGCACAAGCCCTAAGAAAGGACCAGGAGGTCCCTTGAACTGGGCTGCTATTCAGCCAGTGTGCATGGGGACAACTGTTCTCATTGTTGATAAACAACCATTCTGACTGGGCAGTGTCCATTTTATACCAGTTGCTAAATGTTTTGCACATCATCTAGATAAGCACTTACAAGTCAGGGTGCACGCAGCATCCATAAGTCATAACAAAGCCTGTATCAAAACCTACCTGGTATAAAATGCCGAAGAAAGAGACAAGATGAGTGAGTCAAAGACCACATAAGCAAGCAGAAGAAAGGAGGGCACATGAATCAAAGGACAAAAAGCAGGAAACGCAAGGTGCCAATCAGGAAGTTAGAAGAAGCCTATAAATTCCCAAAGGCAAGAGGAAGGACATGGTTAAAAGCAACAGGCAGTTAAAAACCAGAAAGGCACAGATCTCCAAGTGGAAGGCAAGGAGATAAATAGAGGTCAAGAAACAGGAACTCCTCTAAAAACAGAAAAGAAGGCGAAACACAGGAACAAGGCAACAGCGGGAAATAGGACCCGCCATGAGAATTGGAAACCAAGAGGCAGGCTGGGCAAACAGCAAGACTTTTTGGCTTTTTGACTACTTCCTGCCCAGGTGGAAATCTATCTCATAGCTTGGCCAGCTTACACTATGGTGGCTTTCTACACCTAGCAACACTGACCTGCAGCTCTTACAGGTTCTGCCTCTTTATATTCAGCAGATCTTGATGGGGAAAACAGAGGGAAAGAACACCCAAAAAAGGAGATTATTCCATAACCAAGGATGAAAGAGAAATAGCTTTGACTGAGGGCTTGCGCTTGCCAGACACTGTGCCTAATATGTACGTGGTCACCTTAAGTGTCACCTCAGTCTTCTGAGATAAGCACTGTTCTTTGCGTGTTTTACTGAGGATGGAACAGAGGTTTGGAGAGGTTGTCACTGCACACGTATCTGCACCATCAGACCTTGGGTTGGTTAACTCCAAGGCCCGTGCTTTTAGTCTTCTGTGTTCTTCTAACCTTGGACAGGAGCAGTCACTAGTGGGCACCTTGTTTTTCAAGTATGATTTAAGCTTTGGCAAGTTTTGTGATGTAAGATTGGGAAATATGAGCTCTGCCTTCTAGTAAGATCTGTTCCTCATTCCTCTTTCAGCTTGTTCCTTCCCATTACTGTACCATATTTTTGATTGAGACTTCTCCTTATCCCCACCTCATTCTGTCCTTCATCCTCTGCAAGTATTTCCCAGAATACGTAGAAGCCTTTTAGTCGTTTTAAAATAAAACAAACTTAACTGGCTCATCTTCAAATAGCTACATTACAAAACACAGGCCATTGCCATGTTATATTTGCCCAGCAGCCAGAAATGAATTAAATATCTAGGATCAATTCATGTTTTGTTGGAGGATACATTGATATGCAGATTCTGTTCTAATTTACTAGTTTTAGAAAATGTGGATTTAGCTCTGGTGAAAATCAGTGCAGTAATTGTTTAAAATTATGAAATATTGGGCCGGGCACAGTGGCTCAAGCCTGTAATCCCAGCACTTTGGGAGGCCGAGACGGGCAGATCACAAGGTCAGGAGATCGAGACCATCCAGGCTAACACGGTGAAACCCCGTCTCTACTAAAAAATACAAAAAACTAGCCGGGCGAGGTGGCAGGCACCTGTAGTCCCAGCTACTCGGGAGGCTGAGGCAGGAGAATGGCGTAAACCCTGGAGGCGGAGCTTGCAGTGAGCTGAGATCTGGCCACTACACTCCAGCCTGGGCGACAGAGCGAGACTTGTCTCAAAAAAAAAAAAAATTATGAAATATTAAAGATATTTTAAAAAGAATAAAGAGGGCTGGGTGTGGTGGTTCCCGCCTGTAATCCCAGCACTTTGGGAGGCCAAGGCAAGTGGATCAGGAGCTCAAGACCAGCCTGGCCAACATGGTGAAACCCCGTCTCTATTAAAAATACAAAATTTAGCCGGGCGTGGTGGCACGCGCCTGTAGTCCCAGATACTTGGGAGGCTGGGCAGGAGAATCACTTGAACCTAGGAGGCAGAGGTTACAGT